CTAGGTCACTTCTTGCACTGTGGGCCCCCAGGGAGGGGCGAGGGCTGAGGCGTGGCCAGAACAATTGCATCACACTTATGTCGACCTTCCCTCAAACCCTTCTTCTTGAGGTATCAACCCATTATTCAAGGTCTGCACAGACTCCAACTTGCCTCCTAATCTCTTTTGACACCACTCCCCACTCCTCCACTTGGCACCCCAAGTCTTCCTTCCCTTGAGGCCCGGTTATAACAGATGGCTCCTCCGGGAAGCCTTCCCAGATTAGCTCAGACCTCAGGGGACTCTCGCTCTTCCCGTCTCACTCATCCCTCCATTACATGGTGTTGTAAGTTGAGTTGTATCCTCCCAAAGAGATGTTGACATCCTAACCCCTGGTACCTGTGAATGTGACTTTTTTTGGAAATAGGGTCTTTGCAGATGTAATTAAGTTAAGACGAGGCCATGCTGGATTAGGATGGCCCTAATCCAATGACTGGTGTCCTTATAAGATGAGAGAGATGTGGACAGAGACACACAGGAGAGAAGGCCATGGGAAGACAGAGGCAGCCATTGGAGTTATGCTGCCACAAGCCCAGGAACACCAAGGACTGCTGGGAGTCACCAGGGGCTAGGAAGAGTCAAGGAAGCTCCCCACCCATCTCCTCGATCTCAGACTCCTAGCCTCCAGAATTGAGATAATCAATTTCTGTTGCTTTAAGCCACCAGTTTGTGGTATTTTGATGCGCAGCCCTAGGAAATGAACACACGTGAAAACTTTTATCTGCCCAACCTGCCTGGGTCCTTTTACGTGCCTGTCTCTTCAGCTCTTGCCTGAGTCCTGCCTTGTGCCATCGTGTCTGCAGCTGTTTAATTCCGACACCAGGCTCCTGCCTACGCAACTGTTTGATCTCCCCAAACTGATACCTCCTGTTCTCCTGTCCTCTGGAGCTGAAGGCCTTGGGCTCGAGGCTTTGGTCTGCTCTGAGCCACTGGGGGCATGGGTGGGCGACTGACCTTTGCTGCTATTCCCCTTGTGGCAGAGTTCAGAGGGGCAGTGGGGGTGTTTTGGACTCCTCCGAGCTGGGTTAGAATTTCCTTCCCATCACTTACTAGCTGTCCCACCTAGGTTAGTTGCAGGGCTCCCAGTTGGTTCTCAGTTTCTTCTTTTATAAGACAGGGGTTGGAAAAGGCCAACTGTATCCCACCTCCCATGCAGGATCTCTACGGGCAGAAAGCCCAACGCAAACGCAAGAGATTAGAAAGAAATTCTGGAGAAAATGAAGCAATGGAGGGGAGGGGTTTGTCTACTCTCTGTGGTCTCAAACACTCCTGGCACTCTGATTGCCCAGCAGATGGCCCTTCCCCCAGAGGAGGCCTGGAAAGCTCCGCCCGCATGGTTGTCCGAGGATTCCAACCCCAAATGGGCTCCCTCTGACCTTAGACGGTGCCTTCATTTTCCTCAGAAGAGGAACTCGGAATATCCCGTGTTCCAATGGCACAAATCTGATCATGATGCTTCTCCACTGGAAAGCCTTGATTTGCTCCCAATTTCCCACACAGCTAAAGCCCAGACTCCTTAGCAAGGCACGTAAGGCCTTTCCTGATCCACCTGCACGTCCAGCCCCGTCTCCCTAGAATCTCTGCTATGTGCAAGCTGTCCCCCAAACAAGCTAAACCCTTTCCCCCAGGAGGCTTGAGAACACCTCTACCTCTCCTTCAACAACCAAAATAATAAAGCAGCTGCTCACCTAACAGCTGCGCATCATTCACATACAGTAGGTAGCTCTTCACCTCACAGGGAGGCCTTATTTTGCCCATTTTACAAATAAGGGGTCAACAATGTCCCCAAGCTCAGTTAGCACACGACAGTTATGATTTGAACCTATCTCTCTTGCTTCAAAGCCGGGGCTCCTCTTCTGCCTGGCTGGTCTCCCTCTTCTTTCAAAATGCAGTCGAGCTTTATTTTCTGGAAAGCTGTCCTGACACCCTCCATTCGTTTTGGCTCTCTGCAGCCACCGTGGGTGGGCACCTCCAAGCCGCACCAGGAAAGGCTGACACTCGGCTCGTCAGGCGGTAACTGCAGATGTAGCCCCGGCTCCCTCCCAGGACTGCAGCTCCTGGAGGGCAGGCATCCCACACCCAGCCAGGCCAGGCACATGTTGGTGTTCCAAGTGGAACAACGCCTCAGAATAGCCAACAGGATGACAAAAACAGAAGGGAACTCTCCTGGGATATACACTGAGGAACACTCACAGGGCGGCCCCGTGGCATAGTGGTTAAGTTCTGTGTGCTCTGCTCTGCAGGTGTGGATCCCTGGCACCGACTTACACCACTCGTCAGCCATGCTGCAGTGGCGACCCACATACAACTGGCTCAGGGACAGTCTTCCTCAGCAAAAAATAAAACATAATAAAAATAAAAATTGAGGACTATTCTCTGCTCATTTCGTGGTAGGAAGCCTTTGCCAAACTTTCCTTGCTAATCCTCACACTCGTTCCTGGGGAGACAGTCTCCATCCCCCCAGGTTGGACACCTTGAACCCATTACACAGGACAGTGCAGCCGATTTTCCTGACTTCCTCTGTGCTGTTTCCTTTGAGGCAATGCAGTGCAGCGGTCACAAGTTTCACAATCAGACTGGTTCAGGCACGTACTAACTTGTGACCTTGGACAAGTTATATAACCTCTTCAAGCCTTCGTTTTCTCATCTGCAAAATGGGACAATCCTACCTACACCTCCTAGAGTGAACCTGAGGCTTGAAGCAGGTGCTTCACTACCTTGTGTGATGGCATCATCATCGCTCATGTTTCACAGACTGGAAAATGAAACAAGAGAGGGGAGGGACTTCCCAGAGTGGACAGTGACGGCAAAGCCTGTGGGGTGGAGGGGACTGAGGACTGGAGCCAGGCCGCCCGACCCCAGATCCTGAGCTGCCTCCACGGCACCATGAGGTGCAGACCACGTGGTTTGCCACTGACTCCTTATTTCCCCGGCTCCTCAGTGAGGCACCCCCAAGTCTTCCCAGAATGGACCTCCAAGAGGCGAGTCCTCAGCAGATAGCAGCTCCAGCTCTGAGTGGCCCTCACAGGTTCCAGTGGCCAATTCCCCATTCTCACAATGGGAAGAACCTTTTAGGGCTGGCTGTACTCTTAAGGTTCCAACCATTTTTAAATGCTTCAGTCCCATCCCCAGATCTAGTACCATTTTATGTGCTCGGAAAGCACCCCCAAGGCTTGGCTTCTTGGGAAGGGTGGAGGGACCCCTGTTTGTAAACACCTTTTTTGAGGAGGGGTCTGGGCAGTGCAGAAAGGCAAGTGGAACGGGGAGACACGACCAGGGCTTCCCCTAATGTGCCGTTCCATCCCTTAGAGGACCCGCAGCTCCTCCAGCCCCTTTTTCTAACAGTTACTTCAGGGGGCTGAACGGAAATAGGGGGTCCAGAAGCAATAGGGAAGACTTCTCTGCAGTCTGCTCACCAGGGGGCACCCGTGGCCAGAGGAAGCCTCAGGTCGGATGGGAAGGAAAGGCTGGGCCAGCAGGTGGCAGTGCCCTCCCAGGGCCCAAGGAAGGGAAAAGTCCAAGCACCCAGAGGAAGAAGAGAGAAAAACGCCTCTCCCTTAAAGACCCAGGTTCCACTTGTCTGTGAAGGTTCAGGGGAGGTATCAGCCTCCTAGGAGGCTCCCCCCACCTTTCAGATCTGGACAGGCCGTCCTTCTCTGTTCCTGCTTCGTGAGAAACAATTATACCATCACCTCGTTAAGGGTCATCTGACTTCCCTATAACCCCTCCAGGGCAGGTATTCTTTTCATCTTTGTCTCCCCACTGCTAGCACAGCTTTTAAAAAGAACTGGGAATCAGAAAGACGTGCTATGTCAGCTAAAAGTGGCAGGTTCTTCACGTTTTTCAATCAGTGAGCAATTCTCTTTCTACTTTGGGCAAGACAGAAATGAGCTTAAGCTGAATGAATTGAGGCTAGCCATGAGGAGTAAGCTGATAAGAAGTCAGTTAATGAATGCCACCTTTTCTTAACATACATGTGGAACCTCAATGCTTAAGAGAAGGAAAATACGCCATTTTACTAGGAGTGAGGTGACTGGCGGGGGAGCGATGGTTTGAGGTGGAACCTCCTCAGAGGGACTGGCCAAGAATAGGTGGTCACTTGGGGCCCTATTTAGCCTGAGAATGTCAGAGGGACTGTTTCACGGGGGCCCCTCTACCCATCTAGACACTCGTCCACCCCACCCTGCACGAGGGTGCCAGAGAAGATAGGAATATAGATTTTAATCATCGTGTTGCTGCTGTTAACCAGAGTGCAATTAATCCATCCTTTGTGGATTGTGATGCCACAGTGTAAATGAGAAGGTTTCACACAGAAACACTCTGGGGCCATTGGTGACAAAAGGGCCAGGCCTCTGGTGGCGAGGGGTGGCAGCAAGAGAAATAGAGTGACGAGAAGACCCTGGGCAGGGAGGCAGCTCCTCCTCCATCATCACATTCCCATCAAGGACCCAGAGAGGTGTGGGTCCTTCCTGGCCAAGGCTGCTGACCTGGACCAGTCCACGTGAACTCGACTTCCATTCCAATTCAGCTGCCTCTAGCTCCAAGGCCAATTCTTGCTGAGTAGATGAGGTCCAGGGCAGGCCCACAGTTGACCGCCAAATGGGGTAGACCAAGGGAGAAGGGAGGGGTTTGGGAAGCCCCCCAACCCCTCTTCATTTTCCCTCCCCAGAGACCTTCAAACTAGCTCAGAGCTGGGTAAAGGACAGCCACAGCAGCTCATCCTCGGGGTCAGAACCGCCCTACCTACCTCCCTCCTCCCCTGGAGATGGGGAGAGAGGGCACTCACAGGAGGGGAGGGAGCAGATACTCCTGTGCCTTTCTCTGCCTGAGCAGTGAGGACTCTCCCAAGGTCAGCTGAGCTCCAACTGGGGCTGGTGGGGTCATCAGGACTTCTCACGGTTTCCTGTGATTGGTAGGATTTGGAGGTGGAGGGAGGTCACTTAGAGCCCCAGGACCTGACCCCAGGAGCTGGCATCCTGGGAAGTAGCCCAAACTGCTTTGATGAGACCATTCCTCTTGTCAAGAGTGGGGCGATCTGGTCCAGGACAAAGGCGCTGGATCTAGGGACAGCTAGGAGTCAGAGACACACAGGGCTTCCACCGCATCGCTCAGACCCTGGTTGACGCCCCCCACGGCCAGGAGGCAGTTCTTGATGATAATGCTGGAGCAGGCACAGCGGGGCGTGGGCATGGTGGGGAGGATCTCCCACTTGTTCTTCCCCGGGTGGAATGCCTCTGCCGTCTCCAGGACAGTGGGCTGGTTCCCTGAAAGTGCCAAGGGAACCAGACCTTACAAAGGAGTCCAGCCACCAACCCACGCCCCGCAGTCGCCCCACCTCCCCTCCACACCCTGGGACCACAAGGAGAAGCCAGGCAACCACAGTTTCCTTGGCTGCAGAACTGCTCCTTCTCCCCACCCTGGGCCAATAGCTTCTGTCAAACAGCCTCTTTGCCCATCCGGGCTGGGAGCTCCTTTCTTACGTGGGTAAGGTGCAGTCTGTCTACACTGAGACCACTCTGGGTGTGTGCAAGCCCTGCTGCCCACACATCTCTCCCCTGTTGATGCTGGGGTCCCGCTTTCAAAATGCCACTAACCCTCTGAGAGACTTGAGTAATACAGCAAATCTTGAATTTATTAGAGTAACTTATTTGATCAGATTGCTGTGCTATTCTGTGACAGAGCTGGGTCTCCAGGCAGAAGAGATGGTCAGAGACAGAGGAACAAGGCTGATCCCTGCCACACTTTTGTCTCCAGTTGTTCCTGGACAGGGGCCCAGGGAGCTGCGCTCAGCAAGCCTGTGTTCCATGGTTATCGGCATGTCCCTTATGCTCTCCGGGCCTCAGATTTCACCGTGTAACGGAAGAGAAAGACCACAACTGGGGCCCATACGTGGACATGGGAAGTCCAGGCTGGGAGGAAGGGAGTGTTGTGAAGTCTTTGGAATGAAGTGGTATGCAGGCAGAGTGCAAGGAGCCAGCACCTCTCCTGCTCCTGTGGAATGCCAAGGATCCACCAGCACCAGAACCACAGTACCAGCCTGGAAGCTCCATCCTTACCAAGTCCTCCAGCCACTACGACCCGTCCACTCAGAGAGCCGGCCACAAAGTCTGCCCGTCGCTTCTTGAGGAAGAAGGAGCGTTCCATCTTCAGCCATCCCCCTATAGGCCATGGATGATGGCAGGACACATAGAGAGAATTAGATGCCGATCACCCCGCCACAAACACACAGAGGCCCACACGGCGTTCACCCTCAGCAGCGTCTCCACCCCGTCTACCCCCTGTGCTCAGGGCATACACAACACCTCCTGCTGTTTGAAATGACCCCTCTGTGGCCTCCAGCCTCTCCCATGCTTGCTGCAGCCAAGAAACTATAATCCCCTACAAGGAATCTCCTTGCTCTACCTCTGTTCTCACAGGCTCTATGCTGGAGAGAAGGCTAACGAGAGGCGTGGGCATGGGAGTCAGGATGCTTCTGTTTCTCCACGAGTAAAGAGCAGGAAGAAGCCCTCCCTCACCTGGCCCTGCCGGATGTTGTAAGAAGAGACAACAGGTGGAAAAGGCTTTGATAAAACAACACACCACCCAAGGGAGCCCTGTGCCGATGAAAGAACTGGACCCCGAGAGTAGCCCTGGACCAAGAGGGGTGCTCAGGCTTCTGAAAGGCTCACCCAGCCAGGTAAGGGGCCCTGGGAGGATGGGTGGGATGGGGGTAAGGTGGTGGGAGTTGGCCAGAAGGGAGGTGGGCAGCCAGGTGCTGGTGCCCAGCTCACCCTGGTCCATGTCAAACACGTCCATTGTCCGGAGGAACTTGGGCTGCCGGTAGAGCCGACCCTGCCGCAGGCCCCCCAGGCTGTACAAGCGGTCATCCAGGGTCACAAAGCTGGAGAAAGCCCGCTTACAGGGAATGGTGGGGAACTTGGTCCAGGAGCGAGTTTCGATGTCAAAGACTTCGAAGGCATTGACCGCATACTTGGACTGTCGTCCCCCTGGAGGCCAGAGCAGGGTGGGGGTTGAGCGGAAGAGTCAGTCCCTGAGGCCAGGGACCGGGTTTCCCCCTTCTGACTGCTACCCAGTCATACAGGAAGCTCCCTGAAGGGTGGGGCAGCATGATCACCCCCCAGTGCCAAGGAGATGCTCAGCACACAGGCACTGCTTCCCACGGGAACTGACCCAAGTTCAAGGGGGCGCAGGAGGGGTAGATGTGAGACAGATTAACCCATCCTTACCCAGCACATAGATCTTTGAACCTCGGAGGAAGGAGGTGGCAGCATATCTCGGGGTGGGCATGGGTGCTAGCGACACCCACATGTCCTTGAGCATGTCATAGTGTTGAAGGTGGTTGTGTGGATGGAGGTCCAGGCCCATCCCGCCTGCTGCGTACACTCGGTAATCTAAGGAGAAAGGCCACACACAACCCTGGGCTCAGCTCACGGACACCGTGGGACAGGCCCCTTCGCACCCATCACCTACCACAGCCAGGCTCTGTTAACTCCTGGAACATGGGCACTGACGCCAGGCCAGGTGCCCAACCACTGCTCTGCAAGAGTGAGCCATTTACATGTCAGTGGGGTTGATGGCACCACTCAAAGTCCCTGCCGTGCTGGAGCCTGGGTTCTGGCCTACATGCCTTAGCCTTCCTTGGTGCGCAGCCCTGGGCTAAGCCTGAGACACTGAGCCTCACATAGAGGGTAGACTGCGGGGGAGTCTCGTGCCCTCCATTCTCCTCCTTCCTGGGCAGCCAGGAAGGGCCTCTCATGCCCTGCAGGAGTGGCCTGTGCCCCAGGCACTCCAAGGCTGGAACTCTCCGGACCTAGCAGGAGCCTTGGGAAGGAGGTCAGCCCTGCTATCACTGGCCCTGTGGGACACTGGACTGCTGCTGGTTCTTTCTTTGTCTGTCACCCCTTGGGGGAATGCCATCCTCCCTCACACCCTGGGAAGCCTGCGGGCGCCAGGAGGCACCCTGCACTAAATGGGATAGGGCTAGGGGTGCACGAAAGTGAGGATCTGGGGAAGAGAAGACTGGCCCCTTTAAGAGCTCTGAGGAGTCCCCTTCGTTCTCTAGTGCTCTTGGCTGCAGGTGGCCTTTCAAGGCTCTTCCCTCTCACACTGCTCAGAGAGGACAGGCAAGGCATCTGCGTTTCTCTGGGCCTCCCCCCAGTACCTCCTGTGGCCTGTCAAGGACATAGCCCCCCACCCCCTCCAGGCCCTCTTTTTCCCAGCGACCCACCCCTACCCAGGATTCTGTCTCCAAGGAGCCAGTCCTCACCACTTCTAGCTCTAAGATGCCTTTATTCCTCAAGGGTATTACAGGCAGGAGTCCTATTTCCTTCTATTTTTCCAACCTTACTGAAAAAAGGAAAAAAATCCCAACCCAACCCTAGCCTCTGGCCAGGAGCTGGGGCCTAATGAGGAATTTACACAAGCTCCGCCTCTCCCATCCCTGTGTCACCTGAAACACCTCCAGCTGGGAACCCTCCCATCCACCCAATCCATACTACCACCCCTGCCCCATTCTTACTCATCCTTTCAGACTCACCTGGGTGTTCCTGAACTGCAAGGCAGGGCCAGCTCAGTGCTTCCCATGCACCTGCACTGGCCAACTTGCCACACCTTACTGAAATAATCTTTGTCTGTTTCTTCTAATAGACTGTTAGGTCCTTGAGAATTTGTTAATCTGTGGCCCCAGCATCTGGTCAATGCCTGACACACAGGCATGTAAATTCTCATTACACTAACTGTGAACCCATTCAATGCCATAGGTAAGAGCACACTGGATCATCACTTACTAGCCGTGTGACCTTGGGCAAGTCAGTTAACCTCTTGGGGTCTCACACTGCTTCTCTCTAAAATGAAGATAACAATAGCACTTATCTCATCAGGATCAGAGAGCCTAATATACATAAAGTAGCTACTGGTAAGGACTCAGTAAATGTTAGTTCTTCATCTTTCTGCACTACTGACTTGAGGCCTGGGGATGGAGGAGTACTCTCTCTCTTTCCCCATGGGCTTCCGTGCCTTCCATCCTTCTCACTGGGAGTTCGTGGAGGGCCCATGAACCAGCCTGCTCTGAGGGATTCTGCCTTCGAGTTTCTCTCTGGTCGCCTTCGGGCTCCTGAAGGCAGGGATCAGATGTGCCTCTTTCCTTCCTCCCTGAGACCTAGAACTGTGCCAGGGACAGAGCAGGTGTTCAAGAAATACTGGTTCCTGATCTAAAGTAGACCCAACAGGCAGCCAGGATGGTTTTCCAAGAGAGATAGGGAAGGTTGCACACCACCAAGCCTGTCTGCTCTGAACTTGGGGTCTCCTAACTCCTGTTGGACCGTTTCTCATAAAACCTTTTGTGTTTTAGCAAAAGAGCTTTCGGAGCCCCGTCTCTGCTCTGGGCTATGCCAGACCCGAAGAGGAAATGAGGAGCTTGGAACAAGTGAAATGAGAACCATAAAACCACGTGGTCAGCATGCTTAGAACTTAGTGAACCTGGGCAAGATGCCACAGGAGCACAACCCTCAGGAACATTCCGGGCTCCACTCATCAGTATCTCTGAGATTAGGAGGCAGAAGGGGAAGTTGAGGATGGGGAGAAGGCCCTGGAATCAGGTCCGAAAGCACTCCCAGTGGGGCCTGGTGATGGTACAAGGAAAGAATGAAGAGTGAACATCTCCAGGACCCCAATTATGCATCTGGAGGTGGTGGCAGCTACAAGGCAAATTTCAGGGGTTGGGGTGTTGTGGGTCACTCTGCTGCATGAAGGGTTCTGCAGAGACATTGCACTGAACCTCCGGCTCTCCCCACGGGCAGGGCCTGCCCAGTTTGGTGGCAGGAGCCTAGTGGAGTGCAGCTCTAGCATCATATGGAATTACTAGACACTTCACTTGCTGAGTCTCCGTTTTCCCATCTGTAAAATAAGGCCAGTGGGTTTCCAGTTTTAGTGTATACTGTAAGGATTAGATGGGATCAGGAATGTGATAGTCGGCCCCCAACTCAGTGTTGGCTCCAACCCCTTTCCCTGTGCGCACCCCCCGCCGGGCCTAGGGCTTGGCTTCGGTGGGGGGGGGGCCCCCGCTTATCCCCCCCCCCCCCCCCCAGCCCTCTTCTCTCTGCCCACCCTCAGCCCTGGCCCCACTCGCCTTTGGCCGTGACAGAAATGCCCATGGCAGCCTCACGCAGCACACTCCTCTTCTTCCACTTGCCCTCATCGATGCTGTACATTTCCACGACCTTCAGAGGCAGCTGATTGGTGCCCACGCCCCCAATCACCATGATCCGCTTCCCCAGGGCGGTGACGGCCATCCCGGCCCGGGCTGTGGGCAGTGGGGGCAGGGCGGTCCACTGGTCGGCCTCGGGGGAGTAGACCTCAAAGCAGTCCATGGGGACGCCGTTGTCGTCACATCCCCCGATGGCATAGACCTGTCCCCCGGTCTCCAGCAGGGAGCAGTAGACCCGGCGGCTGGGCAGTGGCGCCAGGCGCTTCCACTGGAAGTCCTTGACATTAGACACCTCCATGGCAGCCCCGGGGGTTCCGCCCGCCGCGCGCCCGCGGAGCGCCAGGGCGCCGGGGCAGGTGCGCGCCCGGGGGTCTGCCGGCTACTCCGCGCCCGCTCTCGTCGCCTCCATCTCGCTCCCCTGCGCCGGCTCCCCCCGACCCCTGGCAAGGGCCCTGACGCCGGCCAGCGCTTCACCGTCCCTCAAGACTCAGCGATCCGGTGGCGTCCACGCCTGGCCCTGCAGGAGGAATGGGGCGAGTCAAGGGCAGTCGGGGCCACGCGCCCTCGCCTCCTTGCGCGCGCGGGCGGGCTCCCAGCTCCTCGCCAACTTGAAAGGGAGGACGCGGCGGCCGAGGGCGCCACCCCCCGGCGGCATCACACCCCGCGCCGCTTTGTCCCCCGCCCCTCCCCGCCGGCTGGTCGGGAACCCGCGGACAGCGCGGCGGGCCGGGGCTTTCTGGGGTGCAGGCGCCTGGCTGCTTCCCGGCGAAGCGAGGAATTGCCACCTTTCGGCGCCGACGCCTTCCTCCCTCGCCCCCTCCCCGCACCCTGCCGCCCACGCCCCCGCCACTTACACAGCCAAGCCTGGCCGCGCGGCGGCGAGCGCAGACAGCGCATTCATTCCCCGAGAGCGGGGAGCTCCCGCCCGCCGGCGCGGGGACAGGGGAGAGGGCGCTCTGTCCTTCCCCAGTCCGCACACCGCTGTCAGACTGGCAGATGAGGAAAATAAATGAGCAGCAGGAAGGAGAAGCGAAGCGGCCGCTGGGGAGGAGGCCGGCGAGCCCGCTCCACACACATCCCCACCCGCAGCCGCCACACCTGTGCAGGAATCCGCGTGCGCCCCGCGGCGGGGCACGCCGTGACCTCTTTACATAAGCCCTGGCGGCGCCCGGCCCGCGGGGGACGGGGTGGGGGAGGGCCGGCGGGAGACAAGGGAGACCCCTTGTCTACAGGGTCGGAGAAAGCGGAACCTAGAGCCAAGTACGTACCAGGTGACTGGACCAGACTCCCTCCAGTGTGGGGGTGGGCGGTTTGTGAGTGTTTGTTTTGGATGAGGGGGCGGAGAGGCCAATTACCCAGTTTGTCTACAGTACACTGACCCAGTTCGTGACAGGCTGGCTCAATAGCCGGCTTTGCCTTGGGGGAGGTATTATCAAGTGGTTCAACCTAATAGAAACAAGTTATGCGGGTGTGACACAGGCAGACCTGACACAGGGGCGTGCAAACAGAACGTATACACCCACGTGCACACATATGCATAACTTGCACATCACTCTACCCCACCCGGAAGTAGACATATCCGCGGAGAAACTGACATGCACAGATGAGCAGACGCACAACCAGAGACACCAACATAGAGAAACGCAGAGGCAGTCTCTCCACGCCCCTCCCTTCTTCCCGCGCCTTGGGAAGGGGAATCCAGTGGGCCCTCAGCGCCAGCACACAGGGCTTGCCAGATTAATTCTTTCAAGCTCCTCTCTAATAGCCTCTTCAGGACAGTAGTCCCCAGTGACAAAGCTGCTCATGACACCAGTCGGCCACCTGGTCTGATGGACTGCAAGTCCCGCGGTCCTCCTCCTGCGTGGTTCCCTTGAATACAGCCAAGTCTTGAAACACTTGGGTTTGGGAGTCGGACAGACCTGGGCTTGAATTCTGGCTCTGAAATTAACTACTCTGAGCCTCAGTTTCCTTATATTATTTTGTTACCTTTTTAATTTGAGATAAATTGTAGATTCACATGCAGTTGTAAGAAATAACACTCTTTACCCAGTTTCCCTCCATGGTAACATCTTGCAAAACTTGTAGTCCAATATGACAACCAGGATGTGGAAATGGATCCATGCAGATACAGAACACTTCCCTCACCACAAGGACTCTTCCGCTGCCCTTTTATACCCACACCTCCTTCTCTCCTGCCCTCTCTCCCCAACCCTTGGCAAGCACTAATCTGTTCTCCATTTCCATAATTTTGTCATTTCAAGAATGTTATATAAATAGAATCGTGCAGTATGTAACTTTTTGGGATTGGCTTCCCCCGGCTCCCACATAATTCCGTGGAGACTCATCCAGGTTGTTGCATGTACCAACAGCTCACTCCTTTTTATTTCTGAGTAGCATTCCATGGTGTGGCTCTATCCTTGTAGATTTTTGTGAGGATTAGATGAGGTAATACTTGTAAAGTGCTCAGTTCAGCTTCTGATACATAGCAAGGGCCTGGTAAGTCGCTGCTAACACCCTGACTATTACAACCACCGTCAACAAACCAGGAGAAAGGCAAACCTAGAACAAGCACAAACATGTTGCCCTCACTTAGAAATGGCGTCCAGCGAGAAACAGAAGGCACAGCGCACAACAGGCCCATCTTCATATCTTGTTTTCTTGGCTTAGAAATTCCAGTCTTTTAGTTTGAATTCTCTGTACTTACAAAGTAAGAACCTCTAGAACCTTCACAGAGGAAGGTTTTTTTTTTTTTGTATTCAATAAGAACTCATAAATTCCAAAAGAATGTGGTCTGAATTAATGAAGTTTCCCAGGAAACACCAAACATTTCTCTTTCCTCCTAGAAATCACAGTCTGTCCAGAGGAATAGGGAACAGACCCTCAGTCCTCAACTTGAACTGTCTTCACAAAATCAGCATGGGGTGTTCAGGAAGATTAAAAGCCATAGATCTTCCTCGAAGGGGCTTGTTGGGGCCCATCTTCAGCCTCTTTTGCCCAGTGAGCCTCCCACCAAGGCAAGGCTTCTTGTGCCCCCACGCACCCCAGCTGGGGAAGCTTGCTGAGCAGGTATAGAGTTCATTACCACTCTATGTTGTGTAACTCGCTGAGCTAAACCAAGCCCTCGCACGTCCTTTTTCTCCTAATCTTAAAACCACCCTGGGAAAGGTCGCCAGGGCAGACGTCAGTCTCCACTTCTCACACTTGAGGAATCTGAGACTTAATGAAATGAAGTGACTGACTTATCATCACGCGCGCCGTTCAGGGTGGGTCTAGTTTGTGAATTCCAAATCCAGTGCTCTTTCACTTTATCATAATTAAATCACAAATGAAAGAACTGTGCATTATGAAGGACATCAAGCTTTTCCATTCTCACCTGGCTTCTGGCTTTTTGTGCAACTACAGTGAAGCAAGGAGGCCAGACCCCCAGAGGGTTCCGGCCACAGCCCTTTCCCCATTGCCACACTATCTGCGCTGGGCAGCATAGCTGGGAAAGGGCTGGAATCCAGCCCCACAGTAGGCCCCCATTCCAGCCTAGTGCTCTTGTCTCACAAGTACTACCTTCTATGAAGACCATGGGTTCTAGGGACTCTGACCCTTGGAAAAGTACTGAGAACAGGATGCTTTCCAGGCCATGCCTAATTGCTTATTCTGGAAGTCCTGGTTTCTCTCCATCTCCCCCTCTCCTTCCCCCGTGGCTCTTCCTCCCAGCCAGGTGACATCCTTTAGTCCTTAAATTGAGTGCGCTTTGAGGAAGCTTGTAACCTAGCAACCGCCACTTAAGATTCCCTGAGTCACCTGTGGTCTCCATGCCTGGGCAGAGTGCACCAAGCTGGGGCCTTATGGATTGCAAAGCAGAGGTGGGGAGTCTGGTGACCCCTTTAATGCCTTACCACCCCATTCTAGTGTGTAGCCACTTTCCCGGTCAGGAAGTTCTTCCTTATGTCAGACCTAAATCCTTCTTGCTCTAAAATCGAGTGTCGGGCCTGGGTTTCTCTTCCTTTTTTTTTTTTGTGAGGAAGATCAGCCCTGAGCTAACATCTGCCAATCCTCCTCTTTCTTTTGCTCCAATCCTCCTCTTTCTTTTGCTGAGGAAGACTGGCCCTGGGCTAACATCCGTGCCTATCTTCCTCTACTTTATATGGGACACCACCACAGCATGGCTTGACAAGCAGTGCGTCTGTGCGCACCCGGGATCCGAACTTGCAAACCCCGGGCCGCCTCAGCGGAGCGCGCACACTTAACCGCTTGCGCCACCAGGCAGCCCTTCTCTTCTCTCTTAAAAAGCGTTTTGACTTTTTGCCCTTCTTACCAGGTGGCCCTGGGGGAGTAGGAAAGAGGGGGAAGGAAAGTTCATGAAAGCCTCTAAAGACAAAGCCTTTGGTACTGTGGAGTCTTCATTATTGTGACATAGATGCATCGACCAAACTTGCTGAAGGGGTGCTCAGACCCAGAGAAAGTCACTTTCTAAGTATTTTTTTAAAAGTTGCATCTTGGGTTTATTAAGGTCTAATTTACATACAATAAAGTGGACAGTTTTACCCAGTATCGGGCGAGTGTATTAGGTATTCAGCAGGGCCCTGCCCTTGCTGGACTCGGAGGTGGGTTGTGGGGGAGCTGAGGGTGTGGGTAGGAGACAGTTCCTTCCCAGTAACCTAGGTGGATTCGCAGTGTGGAGACCATGGAGGGAGTGACTGTGGGTAGGGCTTCAGGGGCCGGTGGAATTCCAAGTGTAGGGCACATTTAGGGGAGGGGAAAGAGGAGTCCTTTAGCTATTAGGGGCTGCGGCTGGCTGTTCCTTCTCCCTCAGAAATGCAGTTTACCCTCCTGTGGGCGGGCACCACCGCTGGCTGGAGGGACACTGGGAGCTCCTGGAGGCTGGGATCACCTTCTGAATGTAGTTGTCTTTCTGGAACGCCCCACAGATCATGGGGTAGTGGGAAGTGTGTGGACTCTGGAATCAGACAGACGGGGCCTGAATCCTGGCTCCGCCAGCCCCTCACCATGTGACCATGAATGAGTCACTTATACCCCTGAATCTCAGTTCTGAGTCTGTGAAAAAGAGAATAAACAAACCTACTTTCTAGAGTGATGGGAGGCCTAGTTCCTGGGCACACAGTAGGTCGTCTGTAAAGGGGAGTCTTCTTTCCTCCCTCGTGATGGCAAGGTTCTGAGCCTCTGACTTCCTGTGTATTCACGCCAGGGCCCAATAGCAGGTGCCAATTCCACAAGGTAGGCCCCTAACCTGGGCCCACACCCTCCTGTACCCAACCATTTCTGGGCCTGTGTCTTGGACAGGATCTCTTTCCTCCCAGCTGACTGAAATCTTCCCCTGCAGCCTAAACGGCATTCTGATCTGGGAACAGCTGGTGCCCTTCCTTTAGGTAATCACCTTTTTATTCCTCACCAGAAACTCGGGTTGTATCCAGGGGGTGGGGAGTGAGCATGACGCACCCAGTTAGGACTGAGGCTGCCAGCAGACCAAGAGAAGAGTGGATTCCTCCCCCTAAATGGAAAAGCCCCGTCAGGGGTTCCTTTGCCCAGTCCCAGCATCAGCCCCGAGGAAGGATTCAGCACTCAAGTGGACTTGATTGGACATTGACACAGGTGT